AGTGAAGATGCAGGGAGCATGCTTGAGCCCAGGAAGATGCAGGGAGCAGGCTTGAGCACAGGTTCTCTGAGGTTTGACAAAATGGGTCTTAGACATCTTCCTCTCTCAACTGGGGGATGGGGATGGAGCAGGTGGTACCTACAGGCAATGTCCTGGGCCAAGAGCCACTTCAAGTTTCTCTGAGGGGGATGAGTGAGGAATACTGAGTGAGAAAGTATGTATAGCGCAAGGATCATGTTTTGGATGATATTGGGGCAAAGTATGCATGAGTAGAAACCTAACTACAGTAATAAGAATTCTTGGGGCAGTGTGGGGGAGATGGCTCTGTGCTTGCTGTGCAAGTATGAGAACTTGATTCTAGATCTATAGAACCCAGGTGAAAAGCTGGGTGGGTGTGGTGCCTTGCTTGAAATTCCAGTGTTTTGAGAGGTGGAGACTGGGTCTCAGAAGTCAGCTAGCTAGCTAGAACAGTGTGTGAGCTCTGGGATCAGGGCGAGGGCCTGACTCAGTAAATGAATTGGAGAATAAGGGAAGACATCAGACTTCAACCTCTGGTCTATACACATACACACACACACACCTGCACATCCCTACATATACATACAACTCCGCCCCCCCCCCCCCACACACATGCAAAGAAAAAAAAAAGAATGTTTGGAAAAAATGGCAGGCCAATGAACGTAAACTCATGTTTGTCTTTTTGGGGCTGGAAGACTTTGGGAAAACTAATAACTTCTCTATTAATCAACAGTGGGGCCAAACTACATCTAGATGGATTACTAAATGAAGCACTTAAACAGCACCTGGCACCTAGGCAATGCAATATATAAAAAATTAAAACCTATTGTTGGGTTGGGGAGATGGCTCAGTGATTAAAAGTGCTTGCAACCAAAGTGTGAGGACCTGAGATCAAATCTCCAGCACCCATGTGAGAAGTCAGGCTGTGCATGCATCTGTAACCCCACATCTGTGGGTAGCAAGAGACTGCAGGGTCTGTGCAGCTTGCTAGCCCTCAGGCTAGCCTCAGATCCACTGAGGGAGCCCATCTCAAGAGAAGAAGGTGGACAGTGATAGAGCAGGATACCTGACATTGTTCCTCTGGCCTCCTTGGACCTGCATACACATGCATGCATATACCACATGTGTGCATGCACACAACACACCCTATTGTGATGAAAACTGTCTGCCCGAGATATTGGGACTGTCCTGCTCTCTCTCTCTCTCTCTCTCTCTCTCTCTCTCTCTCTCTCTCCCCCTCTCTCCCTCCCTCCCTTTCTCCTTCTGTTCAGTGCCCTCTCTTTTTCTGTCGTTGTTAACTTGACATAAGCTAGAATTTTCTGGGAAGAGAGGGCCTTCATCAGATTGCCTATAGGCATGTCTATAGGGCATTTTCTTAATTAGTGATTGATGTGGAGGGACCCAGCTTTTTATGAGTGGTAACCATCTCTGGGTGGGTGGTCCTGGGTTGTATAAGAAAGCAGCATGGGGCTGGAGAGATGGCTCAGAGGTTAAGAGCACCGACTGCTCTTCCAGAGGTCCTGAGTTCAATTCTCAGCACCCACATGGTGGCTCACAACCATCTGTAATGAGATCTGGTGCCCTCTTTCATATACATAATAAATAAATAAATCTTTAAAAAAAAAGCAGCATGATAGAGTTTTAATGAACTTTTCTCATCTAGACCGAAAGTGCTCCTTCTAAGAGCCAAAGACCACCTAACAAAAAAACCAATTCCAGACATGAGAATCCCTTTTTTGAGTTGTTGACCAGGCTGTCCAAGAGACTCTCCAAAGGTACAGCCTATTACTGTTGCCCTGGGTTACCCCTGAGAGATGGAAGGTAAGTCTTTGTTGCTGGACACACAATGTACTTCATCAACAGCCCAGAGACCCTTAGCTGGAACTAACCTGAATGCCTCCTCCTTCACAAGTAGCTTTTCTGGTACCAGAAGGCACTATGCAAACGTCATGCCCTGACTTCCTTCAAGTATGGGCTGTGTGGTGGTCCAAATGAAAATGGCCCCCATAGACTCATAAGTAGTGGCATTACTGGAGGTGTGGCCTTGTTGTAGTAGGTATTGGCTTGTTGGGGGAAATGTGTCACTGGGGGCTGGGTTTTGAGATTTCAGAAGCTCAAGCCAGACCTAGTGGTTCATTGTCTCTTCCTGCTGCCTGCAAAACCAGATGTAGAATTCTCAGCTGCTTCTCCAGCACCATGTCTGCCTGCATGCCACCTTGCTTCCTACTGTGATGATAACTGACTAAACCCCTGAACTGTAAGCCAGCTCCAATGCAATATTTTCCTTTCTAGGAGTAGCCATGGTCATGGTGTCTCTTCACAGCAATAGAAACTCTGACTAGGATGGACTGTGATGTGGAAATAAACCCTTTCTTCCCCAAGTTGCTTTTGGTCATGGTGTTTTATCACAACAATAGAAAGAAAACTAAGCCAGGGGCTATCTAACGACTTAATTGGAAATAGTGTAAAAGTAAAACACTTGATTGGGCAAGTCTGAGCCAACGTCAAGAAGAGGGTCGTCAAAACAGTGAGGCACTGAAGCAGGCATCCGTGGAGGAGTAACAACCTGAGGCTGAGCCGTGAGTCCAGGACTGAGAAGGAATGGAGTCAGAACCAGGATCAGAGAAGTGGAGGACAGTGCTCAGGCTCCAAGCTGCAGGCGCTTCCATCTCTGCTCTAAGTGTCAGATGGGTTTTAGAGGAAGGTTTCTGTGGGCATGACAGTATGGTGCTGAGACAGTTGGCCTTCTCGGGAGAGCATTATTAGCAGAACAGCATCATGACAGGGTGATGGGGACCTGAAGGGGGAGAAAGAGTCTTCAGTCACATAGGGCAAAGGAAATCCTTGCTCTTACTGGTTTCTCGGAGGGAGAAGGTTCTATCTCATGTGACTGAGTCTGCATGCTAAGAGTCAGAAAGGCAGAAAAGGGGTGTCAGGTGTTAGGAAGACACTAGATGTCAGCAGGGTCTGGGCTTGTCTGCAGTGGTGGAGATGGGTAAGGACTGCAGAGTCACAGCAGGCATTGTTCGTTAACTGTGTCTGGAAATAGATGATGCAGGGCTGTGTGGCTACAAGACTGAAGCTTCTGGCCCCTTAGAGTGACAACTTCTGTAAGGCCTGTAGCCTAACAATGAGCCTACTGTCTACAACAGTGCCTGGAAAATGGTAGATACTCTTAAGTATTTGCCATGAATGGATGCAGCGTTGAGTGCACCAATGGACATTTGTCCCCGGTGTAAAGGAACTGGATCAAGAGAGGCAACTGTTTGAGGAAGGCACATTCCTTTTTGTCTTTTGTGTTTGAAAAGGCACAAAGCTGAGGGCACATCTCAAAGCCTTAGGGAACTCCTACGGTAAGCAACCTAGCTTCTCTGAGGTTTTTGTAAGTAGAAAATCTTGCCTTTGGATGATAGAAGAAACTCAAGGCAGATTAAAAGCTAAGTGGAAATGAGGAGTGCCTTGAAGGCCCAGAGTTACTGAGCAAGAATAAGAAAGACCGAGGAACAAACAGCAATCCGCGTTATTCTGCCTTAGGTTGTCTGTCTTTCCATTTGGTTACCCTTTGCTTAGCTAAGATGGTTAGTTACTGTTGTCACCTTGACAGGATGGAAGATGAGCCTCTTGGTGTGCCTGTGACTGTTTCTAGAGGATGTTAACTGAAGTGAGAAAACTCACATACCCTGAATGTGGGTGGTACCATGTCATGGGCTGGAGTCCTGGACTAAATAAAAAGGAGGAAGTGAGCTGAGCCCCAGTATTCATCTCCTGCTTCCTGACTGTGGTTGCTATGTGACCCGCTGCCTCACACTCCTGCTGTCATAACTCACCACCATGACGGACTGTACACCCAAACTGTGAGACAAATAACCCTTCCTTCCTTAAGTGGCATTTGTCAGGTATTTGGTCACAGTAGTGAGAAAGTTTACTACTACTCGGCCCGTCTACACTGCTATGGAGAAAATGATGGCTGCCTGACTTCTGCTCAATTGTGGAAAGAGTGAAGGTGTAATCAGTGAGCTCAAGGCACAGCCAAGGACTCTGTTAGCCTTGAAGAACTCTTACCAGCTACAATCATTCAGTTCAGAGATCGGATAGTTACTAAAGCAAGTTAGGGAGAGCGGCCTAAAAGACCTCTGTAAGGGTCTTCTCTAGCATGTTCTGTGATTCCACGTGGACCCAAATTTCTTGGGAAGAGGTGGAAGTGAAGACTGCTTTAAAAATTCAAGACTTGCAGAATGGATGTGAGAAGTGATGGAAGAGAGAATGAAGTCTAAATACCCATAAGAAACAACTCGAAGCTTTTCTTCTTGGGTATAAGTAGAAGGTGTACATTTTTTGGCTTACTTGTAGTTACTTTCTCTCTGTGCGAGTGTGTGTGTGTGTGTGTGTGTGTGTGTGTGTGTGTGTGTGTATGTGTGTGTGTGTACATATGTGTGGGTATTTAGTTGTTTATTGTGAGTTTTAATGAGCATGGAATGTGATGACAAAGATGTATAGATGTGCTGGTCTGGGTAGAGGAGCGTGTATTTGCCTGTGTATGTGTGTGCATATAAGTGAAACTTTCTAAAAAGAGCTCCTGGGCTGAGGAGATGGCTCAGTGTATCAAAGCATTTGCTGTGCAATCATGAGGACTTGACTTCGAATCCCAGCAACCAAAGCTGAGGGCACATCTGTAACCTGAGGAATGGGGGCCTGAGATGAGAGGATGTCTGGGGCTTGCTGGCTACTAGACTAGATTCTGGTTCTGTGAGACCCTGTCTCAGATGAATAAGGAAGAGAATGAGAGAGCAGGGCACCTGACATCCTCCTCTTCCCTCCACTGAATATGCATGGGTATACATACCAGTACATACATGTATACATATGCCACACACATAATACAACACATGCATGTACACACACACACACACACACACACACACACACAGGTCTTGAAGGTCAAATGCTGTTGAAGTTCATAGAGAGCCTCCCGCTGGGTTTCCATGGAAACCAGAGAGGCCAGCTCTGAAACAAATGGCAGGAAACTGAAGAAAAGGGTAGACAGCCTCATAAGTATCTTTTTATAATCTGGCCTTTCTCGTACATCTGCGAGGACAAGCAGGCTAAAGAGTGATCAAAATACTCAGATATGTTTTATGTTTTTAGTAAAAGGAGGAGGGTGGTCACTCTGTTTTTGTTTTATATGGCTTTCACATGGAATCGATGTTATCCCTAGGATTTTCCCTTTGATTTCTTACTTTGCTGTGGTCTATGTACCAACCAGTTCTTGTTAAATATTTATGGACAAGATTAAAGACTTTATAAAACTTAGCAGCTGGCAGCTGTCCTCGCCGAAAGAATAAGGCAGAGAGTTTTCATTTTAATTGGATAACCGTGTGACCGAAATATCTAACCCCAAGGGAAATACAAGAATTAAAATATGTAAAGCAATTTAAAAAAGAGAAAGTGGCCTTTTACGTCTTGTCGCCTCGATTTCCTTTGGTGGTTTTGTGTGAAGGTGAAGTGGCAGTGTTTTTTTTTTTTTTTTCTTTTTAATAGCTTCAAGGCCTCAGCACACCTCCTTGTAGCCTGCGAATGGAAAGCACACTGTGCAGGTACCAGGAGTGACTTGCTGTTCATCCTTCTAGGAAGCATCATCACAGCAAACTCATGACTGAGTAAACTAAAATGTGGAGAAGGTGAGGATTTCCCCAGACCTCTTGATATTGACATTGATTAAAACAAAAAGATGTTGAAAAAAGGGTCTTTTCTTTTTTATCCTCTTTTCTATATCTCTTTTCTCTTCCTTCCTCTTCCCCTTCTTCTTTTCCTTCCCTCCCCTTCTTCCTTCCTTCTTTTCCTCCCTCTCTCCCTCCCTCCCATTCTGTAGGATTTGATTGAGAGTGGCCCCTATAGGCTCATATATTTGAATACTTTTTCTTAAGTTGGTGTAATTTTTCTGGAAGTAAGAGGTTGTGCCCTGGTTGGAGGATGTGTGTCACTGGGGGTTGGCTTTGAGGTTTAAAAACTCCATGCTATTTCCGGTTACTGTGTCTCTCTCTTCCTGTGGTATTGTTTCAACATGTAAGCTCTCAGCTGCTGTTCCAGTGCCAATGCCTTTCTGCCTGCTGCCAGGCTGCCCACCATGATGATCATGGACTAACTCTCTGGAACTGTAAGCAAGCCCCAACGATATGTTTTCTTTTCTAAGTTACTTTGTCATGGCAATAGAAAGTAACTAAGACACTGTCTCCCCCTCCATTGTCCCTTCCTTCCTTCCTTCCTTCCTTCCTTCCTTCCTTCCTTCCTTCCTTCCTTCCTTCCTTTCTTCCCTCCCTCCCTCTGATTCCTCCTTCCTTCCCTTCTCTCCTTTTTCTTCTTCTATTTCTTTCCTCCCTCCCTCCCCTTCTCTCTTCCTTCCTTCCTCTTTTCTGAGTCAGCAATAGCTACACTCTTTGATGTTGATCTGAGAATTCCCACTGATCATGAACAAGTCATCATTTCTTCTGTAGGTGCAAGATAACTCCCAAGATTCTGTTAAAGCCTATGACCAGGTCAGGGTTGGCAAGCAAAACACCACATCCAAATCCTATTAAGTACCTATTGTACGAAGCCATGAGAACGAAAATTGCCTTCTGAAACATTAATGGTGTGCTAGGGGTCTATGAAGACAGAGTATTTCTGACATGTACACTACACAAGATCAGGAAGTCAGTGTGTGAACAATCATGTTGCAGCACAGGATGGCCTCTTTGTTTAGGTCCTGTTTATGATGGCTTTCACACCACAGTGACAAAGTTGAGTTCCTGTGACAGGCCCATAAATACTGCAGTAGTTCTTATTTAGTATTTATTTTTATAGAAGATTACCAATCTCTATATAAACAATTAAAATTGACAGAAAAGAGCCCATCAGTGTGTTATTCTTTGTTCACTGGAATGGTTACCTTCTTAATAATAGTGCTGATTGTGTTTGGACAAAATTCTTATTAAGTTTTTGATGTTATTTATTTATTTAATTTTGGATGTCTGTATGTGTCTGTGTGTATGCGTGCGTGCGTGTGTGTGTGTGTGTGTGTGTGTGTGTGTGTGTGTGTGCACAAGTACATTTGTCCACATGTTTGTGGAAGCTGGATGCCAACCTTGGATGTTGTTTCTTAGTTGCCCTCCACTTTAGTTTTGGAAAGGGTCTCTCACTGGACTGGGACTCACTGATTTGACTAGAGTATAAGGCCAGGGAGGCTCAGGGGTCCACTTGTCTCTGCTTTTCCAGAGCTGTGGTTACAAATGTGTGTCATCACATGGGTTATGGGGACAGAACTCAGGTACTTGTACTTTTAAAGCAAGATTTTTATCAACTGAACCATTTCCCCAGTCCCAATTTTTGCATCATTATTAAAGAAGAAAAAGGTGATTTTCTCTAAACACACAAGAAAGCTGCACAGGCTACTCTCTCTGGGTAATTTTTCTTCTCTTAGCTTCACATATGTGGTTATCTACAGTTCCAGAGGAATGGGGTAGCCATAATATAATGTGTAGACCAAAGAGTCCAGGTTTATCTACTCTTGTTGCATTGGGTTGTGATGATTTGAACATGTCACTGATATTCAAGTTCATCAATTCTTAGAGCAAAGATGTTGAAAAGTGGGATGTCTGCATGCCAGTTTATCCCTGCAGAGACCTTGATGGCCCAGGACTGTTATCACAGGACTGCGGTTCTTACCATGGCCATGGAATCTCCTTCTCTCTTGCAAATACTCTTTTGCTCTCTGCTTGTCCATTTACAGAATGATGATCAAGGAGGCCTTCATGAAAGACAGGCTTTTGACTTTGGACTCTGCAGTCATCAAAGCTATAACAGTAAGTCTCTATTCTTTTTGAAACTACCCCATCTCAGGCATTGTTTGTACAGCACAAAACAGGCAAACATGTTGAGATGAGCTCTCTAATATTGATAGATCTCCAAACCGGGTACTGGGGAAATCTTTTGACTGGCTTGCAAAGCAAACAAAGTTAATTATTGGCAAAACAGTGGAAGAACTAAGAATTATTGATCCCTTCTGTTGTCAGGCCCATGGAAATTTATTTATTCCTTTTGAAAACCAGAGATGAAGAAAGAGACAACTGGTAGGTAGAGGAGGATGGTTCTGATCTTGGTTCTGTTGGAATTCAAAGCTCATGCATATGTGTGTTCGTATGTGTATGGATGCACAGTCACATGCAGAAGCATGTGTAATGTGAGCATATGCTTGAAGGGGTCATTACTTAAGAACCAGCCACCTTAGTTTTTGATGCAGGGTTTCTCACCTGTACCTTTGATTCTCCAAGCAGGCTAGGCTGGCTGGCCAGTGAGCTGGGGGGATCCACTTTGCAAGGCCTCCCTAGATCTGGAATTATAAACATGCACCATCACGTTTGGCTTTTTGCATGGGTAGAACTCAAGTTTTCATGGTTGCCCTTGAAACACTTCACTGACTGAACCATCTTCCCAGTCAAAGCTCAATATTTGCAAGGAAAGCTCTCTTCCAAGTGAGGAAGTTACTCCTTTGCCAAAAAAATTTGTTTTTCAGAAGACATGTGAATTTGGGTCCCAGCAAGGTCCATGAAGGGCTGTCAGCCTGCTTGGCTGTCTTCTAGAGCACAGGCTGGCAAGCATGTACTCCATTTCTTCCAAGCTCGGTTTTCATCAGTGGGGGCCTCCTCTAGAAGATTCTATTTCTTTTTTTTAAACCCACCATTCCATCTCCCCAAGAACATCTTCTGCTGTCACTGTGTTGTCAGTGTTCTAGATGTCTGAAAGGCTCTTGGGATGCAGAGAGGTGCCTGGAGTCCTTGACATCTTTGTTAGCCATCCAAACTTACAAAGCTTCTTACCCCACTATGCCACATCTGGTACCCTGTAGCTGGTTTTCTCTTGGTGTCTCCATTCTGCCACAGAGTCTCATGGGTTGTATTCTTTGTGCTTCCTCTTCTCTAATATCCCCCCCTCTCCTCTCTCTACATTCATGAATGTGTGTAGGTCTGTCTGTGTACATCTGTGCAGAGTCCAGAGGACATCCTTGAGTGTCACTGTTTCAATGTCTGTCCACCTTCCTTTCTGAGAGAGGGTCTCTCACTAGCCTGGAGCTTGCTAAGTAGGCCAGGTTGCCTAGCTAGCAACACAGGGATCCACCTGCCTCTGTCTCCTAGAGCTGGGATGGAAAATGCATGGTATCACACCTAACTTATTATTATTTTTTTTAACATAGATTCTAGGATTGAACTCAGCTCCTCATGCTTGCAAGTGGTTTCCTGCCTTAACCATGTCTACAACCATGACTTATGTTTTCTGAGATCAAGAATGGAGTCTCAGACCTTCATACTCTGAAGCACTAAGTGTGGCACTCTGTGAAGGCAATGGGCAATGAAAAAGGAGTATCGGGGAGATAATTTTGTTCTAGCAATTCACCTCACCACCTATTGTGATAGTTAATCTTGCTTGTCAACTTCATTGGATCTGGAACCAACTAAGAGACACAACTCTGGGTGGGTCTGTGAGGGAAAAATAACAGAGGGGAGACCCTTCCCTAGAGTGTGTGGCACATCCCTGTGGTAGCCCATACATAGAGAAGTCCCAGGGGAAATCGGGGCTGCTTGACCTGCCTGTCTTCCCATTTTGCTCTTGACTTCGTTTGTCCTATTGTTGCAGCTGCCTCCACTGCTGCCCATCCTGGACATTGGAACTCAGCTTCTTTGGCCTTCCAACAGGGACTAAAGACTAATGTCTCTCCAGGAATCCTCTAGGCCATCAGTATCTGACTGACATCCCTGACATATCCACTCTTGTGGACTTAGCATCTATTGGGCTCTCCTGTTTGCAGGCAACCACTGTTGAACTACCCAGCCTTTACTATGTAAGGCAATCTAATAATCCCTCACACACACACACACACACACACACACACACACACACACACACAGAGAGAGAGAGAGAGAGAGAGAGAGAGAGAGAGAGAGAGAGAGAGAGATGGAAGTTTTTCTTGTCCTGCCTGGCTCTCGTGGTCTCACAGCCACTTATAAAATAATCACTCAGAGGCTTAATAATAATTATAAACTGTTTGATCGATGGCTCAGGCTATTATTAACTAACTCTTTTATCTTAAACTAGCCCATTCCTATTAATCTATGTATCATCACATGTCTCATGGCTTACCTGTATTCCACTACATCTTGCTCCCCCTCCCCCTGAAGTTTGTAGCATCTCCTCCAAACCCATCTTTCTTCTACCTGTATCTCCCTTGGATTTCCTGCCTGGCTGTCTCACCATAGGCCAAAACAGCCTCTTTGGTAACCAGTGGTAGCAACACATATTCACAGTATACAGAAAGACCATCCCACAGCATTTCCCCCTTTTTGTCTAAACAAAATTAAAATCATTTCACATACACTTATTCTATCAGTTCTGTTCCTCTAGACAACCTTGACTGTTTTCTGAGTGCCAACTCTGCTACAGCCTGCAAAGGTAAGCTGAGTGGATGCATAGACACTTGTGCTTTTTTTAGCAGAGAAAGGGCAAGTTTGGGCCAACATATATGAGCTGCTCACAGTAATTTTCAAGGGGTGTTTTAATTCACTAGGGGAATGATTTATATGTGTTCCCTTGGTGGATCTTCTTATTACACTGCATCCTACAAAGCTCACAGTCTTTTTTGAGGAGGCAGTAGACCATTATTGCTATATTTGCATTGTCCTGGTGAGAGAGCTTTGAAATTCAGTTGTGACTGAACTACTGACTATGCAGCCTCAGCCTCCCAAACTCTGTTCTTGACACCTTCCTAATTCCCAGGGAGGTTGAAGGACATGGGCTTTTGGAGTGAAGCACATGGACTTGATAGATTTGTGTCTTAACTTCCAATTCTTTCACATATAACTTTGTGCATTGACTTAAGTGTCCCGGAGCCCCATTTCTTCATTTGTAAAACAAGAATAAGTTACTCAGTTCTTGTGCCATGTCTGTTGTTGTGATGAAATACTCCGTCAAAAAGCAACATAAGAGAATAAAAAGTTTATTTGGCTTTGGATAAATCAAGACAAGAACTCAAGGACCTAGTTTCATACAATACTCAGTCAAGAGCAGAGGTATTAAGCACATTGTTGCTTGATTGCTGTTTGCTAGAACCCAGCAGGCTTTCTTCACTCCCATGCATTCCAAGGCCCAGATCATGAAATGGTACCATCCACATTCATGGTGGGTCTTCCCACATCATCTAACAATCAAGACAATTCCCCACAGCCATGCTCACAGGCTGACCTGCTCTAAATAGTGTCTCAATTGAGGCTCTCTTCCCAGGTGATTTTAGGTTATGGCAAATTGACAGTTAAAACCAACCAGTACAGATGGAAAGATGCATACATATGCATACTTGAGCACATACATGTGCATATGGATAAGTATGACAGAAATCATTATGATTACATCTGCAAAACAAGAAAGCTACCCAAAGTTGTTGTTGTTAGTGTGTGTATGTGTGTATGTATGTGTGTATGTAACTAGGTAACCCAAGCTTGTCTTAACTTACAATCTTCCTGCCTCAGTCATTTTTTAATTAATTACATTTATTCTTGGGCATTTTCCTATATGATAAAATTTATTTGAATTGCTTTTATTTCCTTCCTCTGTCAATCTTTCCTTTTACCAATTCCTTCCCATGTTCATACTTTTTTGTTTTGTATCCACTGGTGCCTAGTGAGCTCATTAGAAATATGACTCCTGTCTTAGTTAGGGTTTTATTGCTGTGAGCTGAGAGTTCTACATCTGGATTGGCAGGGCAGTAAGAAGTGAATGGCACACTAGACCTGGCTTGAGCATTTGAGACCTCAAAGGCTCCCCACCCCCACCAAATGATGCACTTCTTCCAACAAAGCCATACCTACTCCAAGGCCACACCTCATAATAGTGCCACTCCCTGTGGACCTATGGGGGCCATTTTTATTAAAACCACCACAACTCCTTTTCTCTAAGAATCTGTAAGTAGCCTACAGTTCAGTAGGGAAGGAGGGGGGCTCATGAGTCTTTCCCAAATGTCTAACTGATTGTTTTCAGGGCCAATCTTGTGATTGTTTTCAGGGCCAATCTTGTGCAGGTCTAGTACAAGTTGCCACAGGTGTGGTGAGTTCAATATATGATGCTGTGCCATCACATGAAAATAGCATTTTACATCCTTTCCCCCTGTTATCTAGCTCTTAGAGTATTTCTACTTCTATGATGTTCTCTAAGCCTTAGAGAGGGTGTTACAAATGTCATGTTTAGGGCTGTGCATTCATCTGTCACTTATACTCAATACCTTGAGCAGCTGTGATTCTCTGGCTTTACCTCTTTTCATGGCAAAGACTAAGAGTAGCATTTGTCTATGGTTATAAATACAGATACTTAGAAAATAGTTTGACTATTTAACTAAACAGTAGTAAATTTTCTCTATATATGGCCCAAGACCTCACCAGTCATGTTTTTGACTGGATTTACTAAGACATGCATGGATTCTTTCCAAATGGGTAGAATTCAAATCCAACCAGTTCAGTTGGTTACCCCCAGAACCTTGTGCCACTATTGCAAACATGGGCACATCTTTCTTGGCATGTTGGCATTGAAGTTTACAAGTATCTTAGGTAGGATTTTATTGCTGTGAATAGATGCTATGACCATGGCAACTCTTATAAAGGAGAATATTTAATTGGGGCTTGCTTACAGGTTGAGAGGTTTAGTCCATTATTGCCATGGCAGGAAACATGGTGGCATGTAGGCAGACAAGGTTCTGGAGAAGGAGCTGAGAGTTCTACATCTGGATTGGCAGGTAGCAGGAATAGAGAGTGACACTGGGCCTGACTTGAGCTTCTGAAACCTCAAAGTCCACCCTTAGTGACACAAGTCTTCCACCATGGCCACACTTTGTGGCCTACAACAAAACCATATGTCTAATAGTGCCACCCCCTATGAGTCTATGGGGCCATTGTCATTCAAAACACCACAATAAGGTTCACCATTGGGTAAGACTGTTGATGCTTTTTCCTCCTCCCCAGCAGCCTGCATAGCATCTTCTGCCTGATGAAAACTAGCCATCAAGGAAGAAGTTTCCACCTCAGTTCTAGCTTGTTTTCCCTTTCTCTGTATCTTGCAACCAAGGTATGTGGTATCTTCAGCCCTAGGGTCTTACCATCCGCTTCTGGTGTGCAACCAAGAGCAGTGGCGAATCCTCTGGTGCCTCCATGACCAAGGTCGCTTTTGATGGGAAGAGTACATGTCAACTCAACAGATGACTTTTCTGTTTACTCTGCAGCTGAATACAGATAGACATCTGAGAGGTAAGAAATATAAGGAAAAAAAACTGAGAAGTCCCCTTTCTCTCCCTGTTTTACCTCCTGCACCGTCTCTTCTCCTGGGACTCTATTGTGGGCAGTAGAATTAGTTAGTTTCCATTTACCTCCTCAGCCAAGTGGTTGCCGTGCTGGAGTGGCTCCTTTTAGGCATCTGTTTCTCAATCAGTCACGGACATGGCAGTGCTGGTGAATAAAGCACACGGCAATGAACTCACTAAGCATCAGCCTTTGGTACATATGCCATGTACGGTGTGGGCCGAGGGTGGACTAGGTATGGCCGTTCTTTTCATCTGAGCAGTAGGTGTAGAACAAGGACACACACTCTGCTGAGTCTTAGCTAGGTGACAGGCACCTTGGACTCTCACAACCTTGTCTATTTTTGAGATATATGCGTAAGTTTAGAAAGGTTACAGGAACTTTAACAAAGAAGACAAAATTAGCAAAGGAAAGAGTCAAATCTGAAGACATCTGACACCAAGAGTCCTGCTGAGACCAACTTAAACACTCAGTGATTTTAGAATTCTTTCCAAAATCTCTAGCAAATAAAAATGCCCAGATTTTAATGGTATGTTTTGCCTGGAGCATTATGGTTTAGATGCTCAGCTTTCCTTGTTTGTGTGTGGTGTACATATGTGTTCATGAGGGTGCCCATGCACGTGTATGAGTGTATGTGTAGAGTCTGGAGGCCAACATGGGATGTCTTCCTTGATCACTCTCCCACTTTACTTTGTGAGACAGGGTTTTTCACTAAACCTGACGCTCTTTGACTGGGTAGCCACTGAGATCCAGGGATGGGCCTGTCTCCACTTTCCCAGAACTGAGATTATAGGTATGTGCTGCCATGCCCGGCTTTTATGTGGGTGCCGATGATCTGAGCTCAGGTCCTAGGCTTGTTTGGCAGGCACTTTACCAGCTGAGCCTGGGAACATGTTCCCAGGCTCAGCTTTATCTTCTTAGGGAGAACTAGTCCAATTTGAGAAAAATTATACTTGAAGTTATTTAAAAACAAACTCAATTGCTGGACAATTGTCCGGCAGTCACAAAACCCTTTCTCACTTTGTATTGAATGAACTTTTATTTCCTAGTGTAAGGTGAAGGGGAGGTGGGAAGTTCAAATTGAGGAGGCAGATGAGCTATGAAAACAAGTGGATTTCCCTCTGATGTCTAATCCACTGATTATGTCCAGCGAAGTTGGTTCATGCTTGTAATTCAGTTTTTAGTTATTTGCATTGAGAAATTCTGTTGGTGAATTTGTGAACAGGAGAAGGGAGGGGGTAATACAAACTGTTACTGAATGGGAGGCATATGAGTGGTAGTTCTGTTTACAAGGGGCAGATGCTCAAGATGTTGGACTTGTTGGACCGCTCAGTTCAGCCAACGCAGCAGTAGCAGTCATGACTAACATGGAAGCTGATGATATGAAGGACATCGGCGTGGCAAGATGTTTGACATTATGTATAAGAACTATTCTGTGTTTGCCAACAGGATCAGGAAGTCTCTTCTACTGAGTTTAAAGAATGCTGACCTTCAGATGGTCTCCAGTAATAGAAATCTCAGGAAAGGGATAAACTCATTCCGTTGTGTCAATATACACACATTTTGTTTATATAGCCATCTGTTGATAGACATTTAGAATGACTGCACTCTTTTGCTATTATGAGGGATGCTATGTAAATGTTCGTGTACAAGTCTTTGTGTCCTCTGTGAAACTTTTCATGGGGAGGCATGAACAAACATCCACTTACCATAAATAGGGTACCTGACAGCAGACTGCAGAAATGATTGCATCAAAGTCCAACTTGGTGAACCGATGACATGTTTGGCGTAAGTTTCAGGAGCATGGGTGACTCAAAGGCAGCTGCATCACTGAAAGCCCACCCTAGCATGAGTGACAGCTCATAGAAGCTGCTTCCTTAGAGCTCTCGACACAATATGCAAGCAGCTCAATGGGTTGCAGCCTCCTTTCCTCAGCAGTACTAGCTGTTTATATGACCTGAGGAAAGAGGGGCATTTTAGATCCTGTAACTTTCATGGAATGCCTGAGACTTCTGAATTGTTTACTTTCTGAATTTTAAGGATCCTTGTTCCAGGGTGGAAGAATATTTCAGTTCAGAGGAAACTGTTAAACAACAAAACTAGAATCATTACTCTCCTGTGCACAGCCTTTATTTACTTTACTAGCAAGGCTAATTCTGGTCCAATAAGCACTCATCGCAATTAAGGTTTTCTTATTTGTAAATTTCAATTGTTTTTCTGTAAACATATTGCTTCAGTGTATTTACATATTTATTTGCAAAAACAAGAGCATGACTATTAAAGCTACACAAGAGAACATGAATTCAATTATAATGAAACTTGTGGTCTATGTTATACTGTGACCTTAGCCCAACATAAAATATTAAACATACTTACAACATAAGACTTCAGCTGGACTTTTTCCAATCATGGTCTTGATATCTCTTGCTCATATAATCCCTCCTCTTTCTTGCTGATTGAACTACTGGAGCTCCACTTGGGGCTTGGCCATGGATCTCTACATATGCTTCCACCAGTGACTAGATGAGAGTTCTATCAGGACAGTTAGGGTGTTCGGCCATCTGATCACCAGAGTAGGTCAGTTCAGGCTTTCTCTTGACCATTGCCAGTAGTCTATAGTAGAGGTATCTTTGTGAATTCCTGGGGACCTCTCTAGCACTCTGCTTCTTCCTGTTCCCATTTATCATGGTATCTCTTTCCTTGTTCTCCCCCTCTGTTCTTGATCCAGCTGGGATTTCCTGCTCCCCTAAGCTCTCTTTCCCCCAACCCTTGCCCTCTATTACCCCCTCACCCCCAGTTTGCTCATGTAGATCTCATCCATTTCTCTGTCATTGGGCGATCCCCGTGTCTTTCTTAGGGTCCTCTTTACTAGATAGCCTCCCTGGAGTTGTGAATAACAGTCTAGTCATCCTTTGCTTTACATCTAGCACAGGGACAAATAGCCAAACTTGTGGAAACACATGAACTGTGAACCAATAGCTGAGGAGCCCCCATGGAACTGGACCAGGCCCTCTGGATAAGTGAGACAGTTGATTAGCTTGAACTGTTTAGGAGGCCCCCAGGCAGTGGAACTGGGACCTGTTCTTGGTGCATGAGCTGGCTGTTTGTAACCTAGGGACTATGCTGAGACACTTTGCTCAACCTTGGTGTAGGGAGGAGGGGACTGGACCTGCCTCAATTGAATCTACCAGGCTGGGCTGACTCCCCAGGGGAGACCTTGCCTTGGAGGCGGTGGGAATGGGTGTTGGATTGGGGGGGAAGGTTGGGGGAGGAGGGAAGATGGGGGAATCTGTGGCTGATATGTAAAATTAAATTAATTATAAAATAAAATTATTTTTTAAAAAAGACTTCAGCTGGGGAGATGGCTCAATTGTTAAGAGTACTGGCTCTTCTTCAGTGGACTAGGGTTTGAGCCCAAGTACTTATATGGAAACTCACAACTATCTGTGACTCCAGTTCCAGCAGATCTGAAACCCTCTTTTGGTTTCTGTGGGCACCAAGTATGCATATGACACACATACATACACACATGCAGGCAAAACACCCATACACATAAAATAAAACAACGACAAGCAACAGCAGCAAACTATCAGTCTTCAGTGTTTTTTTTTAACTCATTTGCATGGTTCTTGAGTGTAAACTTTGTCAATGAAAACCCTGTGAAGCAACGTCAAAAGGCTGGAAAATACCTTTAGAGAATAGTAGGGCTGTAGAGGGTGGTTATTAGCTTAATACTGTATGTCTGGAATATACTGCCAGAGCTTGGTTACACCTGTAACCAGATATAATTAGCGTTTTCCAAAGTTTTCTATAAGTATCTAGTTGATGCCTGTTTTATAGATTTGTGGTCTAGAAACTCTAGCCAGCAAGAAAACATCCAGCAGAGTTGTAAGAATGCATAAAGCGCCGGGCGGTGGTGGCGCACACCTTTAATCCCAGCACTCGGGAGGCAGAGGCAGGTGGATCTCTGTGAGTTTGAGGCCAGCCTGGTATCCAAAGCGAGTTCCAGGAAAGC